TGCATATATAAAGCATATGACGTCACAACTGGGCGAGGTCAGACAAGCCTTAAAGGAAACAAACACAGAAACCCTGATTTATCTGTCCTAAAGAATAAAAATAACATGGGAATTCATACAGTTAGTGGCATTTCCCTTTAACTGACCTCACACTAGGTCAGAGTGACTGGACAGTGCCACCTAAGCTCATTCAGGTGACCTTACCCGTGATGGGTGCCTCGGGTCGTGGCTGCTCCTTCCTCCACAGGGGAACGAACACAGTGATGTCCCGCAGTCCTTTGTCCCAGAACCAGTTCACTGCCAGCTGGAGGCCCTGGCACGAAAACACCTTCTTGTCGCCATGGCTGCAAATGGACAGAAGCCCAGCGTCAACAAAAAAAACAACTTCTTCTTTTGTCTTTCCATGCATGTTATGCACACACATCTCTTCTCCCTTTTTCAGGAAGTAGACAGTGTCGCAAGGCGTGTGCTCAAAGTTCTCTTAAACACAATTACAAAAGCATAGAGATGAGTAATTGTTCACATGCAATCAGTCTCAAGGAGTGACTTGTTAATCCAGTTAAGATTTCTCACACAAAATGAAAATGTTTGGCAGCTGTTGATGGTGTCAGTGTTGTTGAGGTTAAATCTAAACCTTCATAATTTGACCTTATCAAGGTCTTTTTACATACTTAAAATGCGACATCCTGAGGAAAGAGTTATGAGTTATGTTTTATACAATAGTGGTTTTACACTCCTTTCCTTCATGGTCAAGATCATGAATTAAAAAATTAGGCCCTGTTCATTTTAAAGTTGAAGCACCTTGATAAAAGTTAGTTTTCTAAACCTGAAAACCTAACCCTGACATGTGATCAGTTCTGTACAAGTTCACCTGACAAACATCTGCTCTCTGAAAAACTGGATCGCTTTGTTTGATGGAGGAGGTAAAAACTGTGCGTTTGGGTGTGTGTGTGTGTGTGTGTGTGCACATGCATGGGGATTCCCTTTCTCTCCATCAGCAGGAAGTCGTCAAACACTTTGCATACAACAGGCAGTAAAGACAAGGCATGTGATTGATTTATACAGAATATGCAGTCTGCTCTGCATATCTTTACTAGTGTGTCATAAAGTTTACTTTGAAAGTATTTCCTTGATCAAATATACTTGTTCACATCTGGTTCATTAGCAGGCTTTAATCGCTTGAATGGAGTTAAACAACGTCCCAAATTGGCCTGATCAAACCCGCAGAGACACATGTAAGGAGCAGTGACAGAGTGGAAACAGGCTATCATAGGGAAGTAATTTAGAAAGATATCGAAATTTTCAAAGTACTAGCAGCACAATTTACTTATAGTGTGAAGAGACTGGTCCCTCTGCAAAGTATTTTAGTGTTTCATGTGGTCAGAAAAAAATTATTTTGTTAAGACAATGCTAAGATAAATATCATATCATAAAGTTATTATGGCATACGTGCAAGCAAATCATTGCCTATTTACACACGCAACATTAGCATTCATTTGGAGTTGTGTTGCCGGCTACCTTACAATTACAAGTAATATTTACTCTTCTTTTTGCTTTGGTTTGGTAATAAAAAATATCTAGCTCTTTAGCTGCTAAATTCTCCACTGTGCCCACAAGCTAGTCTCTAACTATGTCTGCTGTTTGGTGCTGACGGGGTGGTGTATTAGAGCAGAAAGACTGAACCACAACATGAAAGTTGCAGGCTGTAAAAGCAAAACAAAGAGCTAAAAGAGGCTAAAACGCACCATAAAGCCAAACTGCAGAGTGAGGTGCTAATTCTGTGGGTTCACATTGCAGATAATCATTTAATCTGTTGTTAATCTGAAAACACTGATTAGTGCAGTTTCAAGCTTTCATCTTGCTTCATATTCTATGCTCTTTTTAAATGTTTTGCATTAAATCCTTGGTCTTCTAACTTAGATAAATGCAGTGGAGTTAAATATAATATATATTTAATATAATAATATAGTATTTCCCTCTAAAATGTCAGCATTGAAAAACTGCACTTAAAGCAGCTACAAGGAACTTTCATTTTGTGTTGATTCTAGTGGCCCCTGTGGACAAAAGGAACAGTTTTTCTGATTTCAAGGGGAAACGGACTACATCCAAGGTGGCAGGCATTAAGAATAACTATATGGAACTAGCCAATCTTCTCGCTGATGAACTTGTTTATTTCACGCATGTGAAACCAGTTGTTTAATGTCTTCTGAGAAAGAGACTGAAGTGAGATTGTCTGAGTAATCTTGGTTTAGGCTTGGAAACAAATTTAAAAATGAAAGGCTGCGGTACATAATGGGGGCGGCAAGTGTGAAAGACGTGGGCACTTACCGGACAGCGAATGTCTAACAAAAGATAATATTGCATTGAATTGCAAGTGTAGGATCCTGCTTTTGCAGCTCAAGCCATAGCAGGGACTTAAAGTCAGGATATCTCAACCTCTGCTGCTTCAATTTTGACCTTTTTTTTTAAAATATGTCTCTCAAAAGGCTCCCAACGTCATAAATGCAATACTAAATCGCTCTAAATAACTGATGAGGATGGAAAAATCATGGTGAACGAGGTTGGACTTACTCAGGTGAGGTTTATTTGAAAGGTGACCAACTGTGTGTCACTTTGAAAGGAATGAAAGGCACTTAAAGAGAAATAGAAAGAAGAGTCTCCCTCACAGCCTGAGGCCGGATCATAGTCACACTGCCTCACCTGGGACTAAAAGGTGTGACACACATACTTCAGCCCTCTTCCTCTTTCAGAGTCATGTCCTTACAGGAGCATGTATTATAATAACATCTCTCTTTTGTTTTCCATTCTGTTTTCATATTATGCCCTTCACCTACTTGCCATGTTATTTGCATGAGCAGATTTTGATTCAGAACTTCCTTGTTGCCCAATTTAGGTCAGGTAAAGCATGAGATCAGATGTAGGAATTTTACTGCAGCATAGTGTTACACATATTGCATGTCACACTAGATAAGAGTATCACCCTGCTGTAAACAGCTCCAATCTGATGTGAAAACTGCAACCTCGAACACTTTGCCCCCCAGGCATCATATAATGTTGAACTGAGTGGACAAAAAGAGAAGAATATAGGCACACACTGTTTTCACTTCCCACATCTTTAAAGAGGAAGTGTGGCATGATCAAATCTGTGAAGTGAAACACAAGAGTGACACAAGAGACGCTGATACACAAATGGAAATTAGTTCTTAACAGTAAAATACTGCAGTAATGTTGTCGTACTCAGAGGTACTTGTAGTTCCTTGGCTTATATTAGACTGTGCTGCATTACAACTACTTTGCAGATGAAGATTTTACATACAAAACATGACTACCTTCTACAATTACATTTAATTTATATGCATTAAATTAGCATATAAAGTAGTTGAAAATAATTAAAATGTCACTAATGTATTAAGGCATCAGTAATAATAATATGTTACATAATAATATAACACTCTCATATGGAACATCCTGTCCAACAAATACTTTTACTTTTGATTTAAAAAAAAGGACATTTTGTTGACAACACTTGTACTTCAGTATGGTTGAATGTAATTTTACTTAAGTAAACTACAGAGTACTTCCTCCACCACTGCAGCTGAATATAAACATACTCAAACTGAGTAAGTATTCTTAATGATAAATGTACTCAGTTGACTCACCTCATGGCCACGTTGCTTCCATCTATAACCACTGGTCTGAAGCCAGCAGCTGGCTCTCTGTCTGATCCAGGTCTGGGCTGATTGGGACTGGGGCTGCAGCCTCTGGGCACCAGCTTGGGACTGTTGGGCACACTTTTGTTGCTGGAGGTGCGAGTGTGGCAGGTCTTTATCAGCTCCTCCAGGATGTCGTTGGTCTGGGCGTCGTGTCGGAGGCTCTCCAGCACCCTCAGGATGTCACTGTGAGAGTATCCCAGCTTGAGGAATCGCTCCACTTTGGCGTGCTGCTGTTGGTGGTCCATCGTGGAGGCTGATGCTTCACAGCTCTTCTGCTTCCTTTGCTTTGTCTTCTCAGGACTGCCTGGCTGGGGAACCCTCCTCGCCTCCTTATTCTGTCTCACCAGCGTCTCCACGGCAACGGCCTGTGTTTTCGAACAGTTGACAGGTGTCAAGAGGGGACGGAGGCGACCTTTGTCATCGTAAACACAGGAAGCACAGTTGCGGTCTTACAGGGGTTTTCGGACAAATTGATTGTGGTTTGGTGTTTGCTGATAGAATCTGCTCTGCTTACCACAAACTCATGACTGCCAACGCAAGCACAAACACTGACTAACGTCACGCTGGTTAAGAAAGCCCCTGTCACACACTCTGAGAGAGGAAGCTGAGGGTCTGCACTGATCCCTGGTCTAATTTTACCACTAGAGTCATTGGGGTCAGTTACCAAAACAAACATGAATGGAAGTGATGTGAATGAGAGTGTGGGTATTAATGCTATGAGCCTCACCCCATTCCAGACGCGTTCTATTGCTCTTTTTGGAAACCCCCGTACTCCAAAGACAGATCACACTGATGTATTTGAGGCTGAATGACTCAACCCACTTCTTCCACTTTTTCTCCCACAGAGCTATACTAAGTGCAAAACTTGGGCAAATTTCTTACGGTATAACAGGGAAAACACAAAACCACTGTAAGAGCGACTGAGAAGGCGTGTCGAGTTTAAAAATAAAAGCCCATAAAGGACTGAACTCCATGCTTGTTTACAGACAAAACATATGCATTATACTTCTTTCTTTGTACAGTCTTGCCACGCCAGATGGAGTGATTAGCCTCTCCTGCATTGGATGTGTCAACCTAACATTTGAAGTATGAGGAAAAAGATACGATGCAAATCTTGTCTGGGTTTCCTTGTTCTATAGAAGCCATAACAAAAAAACATCTTAACGGAAATGAAAAAGGGCATAAACAGGACAGGACTTTACAGTTGAAGTTTCTACCAGTGACATCCTCTCCTCTACAAGGGGCTTGGCTTTGCACAGGCTTGCTACAACCTGCACCAAACCACATCCTCTGCTGCTGAGTTGACATTCAGTACATACAAGGGTACTCAGATTAATTCTATTCCCCCTAAAAATGAGCAGTATGATTATCTCTGCTTCATTGCCTCACATAACTCCAGCAACCTTTGCTCTTGCTGTACTCACAAACAGATCTGACCCTGATACCTATTTGCCTATTGAAAATCTGAAACATGTCGAGTCTAAACAAGACAAAAAAAATCCAACCTCGGTCTGAGAATTCACATTTAACACGTCACAAGACTCAAGTTGACTTTATTCTGTACTTACACATTAAGCAAGTGGCAGATCGGAGCATGAGTCTCTCCAGCGGTGTCTGTCTTTCTCTCTCTGTGTGTGAGCTGCTCTTAGTGAGTCAGTCAGTTGCTCTGACAAGCAGACCGGTCTGTGTGAAGCAGCTCTTATTACTCATACGAGGAAGTAACTGCTCGACTACTGAGAAAAAAAAAGACTCTCTGATCAGCAAGGAAGAGAACACTATGAATTTTACAGATCACTACTTCCTCATCTGGATTCAGAGTTAATCTGGGAGCCAGAGGGAATTATTTACCCCCTTCTCCCTTGCTTTTTCTGTTTTTTTAGCTCTTCCTGGTGTGGTGAAATAAATGCTGACTGAATGTCTGTGACAAAGCAGTGTAGAGCACCAGGAAGCCTGCTAAAGTCAGACTGAGGCAACATACTTTTGAGGTTTTATAAGTTATTTGGACATGTTATTTTTAATCAATTTAGTTTTTAGGGCAAATGTGTGTCAGAGCTTCCAACATTAATAAGGAATGTTGGAATAATGGTTAAGTAAAAGGTGTAAGGAAGTGCTCATATTCGCTTTTTGGCGGAGAGTTAGATGAGAAGATCAATACAACTCTTAGATATGAGCCTATTTCCTAAAGTTTGGAAATATTTCATTAAAGGATCAGTGTGTAAGATTAACTGGCATCTAGTGGTGAAGTTAGAAGAGGACACTCTTCGTAGATAAAAGTATCTCATTCTAAGGTAACAAGAACACAACGATTCTAATATTCAGGTGATTTAATATTAATGGAAACATACCTATGAATATTATATTCCATTGATGGAATAGTTGCTGTCTTATATGCCTTTATACCAAAATTGCAAGATTTTTGCATAAAGCTGATCATTTTCAGATATTCAATATCAATGTAAAGCAATCTCCAGTTTCAGATAGTCAACATAAAAAAGAACCTAGCATATATCTCATATTATTTATTCAGACAAAGGAGATTGAGTTGTCACCCTTGACAGTGAAGACATTTCCGTTGAAAACTGGATCAATCATTTTTTGTTTTTGAGGATTTTGAGTAAATGACTGAAACTTAAGACAAGAAAGCTCCCCTTGTGTCAGAAATCTCTTTTTCTTCTCATTCCTACAGTGTGCTGT